TGTATAGGTGGATGTACAGGTGTATGTATAGGTGTATAGGTGGATGTATAGGTGGATGTACAGGTGTACGGCTGGATGTATAGAGGGCTGCATTGACAGTCTTCAGTAGAACGGTTCTGATGATATGCAAACTGCAGGGATGTAAAGGACCTGGAAGGTTTCTTTATGTTTCTTTATTAGATGTTCAGGGCTTTCGGGGCTTAGTCCTCGTCAGGACCTTGCGGTAGAATTGCTCAATGTTGGTTGGTGTTAAGGGTGTTAAAGCAAGCAGGGAGCTCTTTCAGCTCATTTGGTAGTGCACTGTCGCTGGCTGTCACCCTTTTTTGCAGCATTTAATGGGGCAATATTCTCAATGCATGTGCTGAGGTTGCTAGTAATCACTGATGTAAAGTCCTCCGAATCCACAGACCCGTCCTCACTCAAGGCAGCAGTCTTAACCTCATCAGCAGGGATAACGGTCACTGTTCAACTTTTATGAATGTCTCACCTGTCTTTGACCTGCAGCAGGTAGCAGATGAGGCTGTAGCCGGCGCAGCTCTGCACGAAGTTCCTCTGAGCGGTGAGGAAGGCCTCTGTGGTGAAGCTGCCGTGTTCCTGCAGGAAGTAGTCAAGCAGCGACAGCTGACTCTGCTTCCTCACCTGGAGGACACACACACAAAAACTGCGTTTCAGTCTCATAGACAAAGAAAACTAACTTTCCCAGAATCCCCTGTGTACCTGGTGCAGGGAGACGGCGTTGAGGACGGGCTCGATCATCCCGCTGTCTGAAGACATGACGAGGATTTTGTAGGGTTTGATCCACAGAGGAACGCGCTCCTGCTGCCAGATGGACTGACCAAGGAAACAGACTCGGCTTCAACATGGAAGCAGTTTAACCACACGGAGACTGCGTCTGTATCTGCATCTGTACCGTTGTGTGCATGTGTCTGTACTGCGTCTGTACCTGCAGCTGTCTGAGGACCTGATAGGCCAGCAGCTCCTGCCTCAGATCGTCCCCACACTTCACGATGACCGACAGCAGCCTCCAGGTGTGCAGGTGGCCGTACGGAGACGCCTCTCGGATCCGCCTGAACACAAACGGCGTTAGCGCGAGGAAGACGTTGTGGAGCGTTCCCCTGCTCGGCTTCACAAACCCACCTGACTTTCTCCTCCCAGGGCTCTTTGAGGGCAACAGCCGACGGGTCCTCGGGGTCCCTCCTGAATGCGGTGGGAGTGTGAGCAAGGTTCTCCGATAGCCGCCGTCTGAAAAACAAACCAGGTCGGAGCGTCACGGCAGAACGCACAGCTGAAGATCGAAGCTTCACGGGACTGCTCAGGCCATTTCATCCTCAGAAAGAAGAGTTCCTGAACGTGCTGCTCTTCAGAGATCTACACTCCTGGACAGTGACAACAGCTCATCATAATTACATCTGCACACCAGGTGATGTTGGTGTCCTATCAATATGGCAACTACAAAGAAAGCTTCTATGGGGAAACTAATAACTAACAAAAAGGTCCAGTCTATGTAGGTGCGGTTCCTTTATTGTTTTAATTAGTTTAAAAACAACTTCAGATCACATTTTGTTGCTGGTAGTTATTTTTGAACGCAGCTCAATATTCCTGTGGAGCTCCTCTATAGCTTGAATTTACTGAAACTACAAACACATAATTGTAGTGTGGAGGGGTGTGGTCTGTGGCTCAGCTTCTAGGGAGGGGTGGTGTTCAGTGGGCGAGGCTGCTCAGAGGCTCCTGTTTGAGCAGCACGCCAAGGCCTAAAGGGGGGAGGAGCTGAGAGCAGAAAGCTGCAAGTGAGCGGGCATCAGCAACAGTGAGACCACGGCCGCCAACAGCCTGGAAACGCTAAATTGTAAACATGAAGCGCCGACATGCACGTTGGCGTCGTGCTGGGCAGAACCAACACTAGCTTGTGTTACACGTAGCTTACCACGGGTAACACGGCGTAATATTTCGTTTGAACTGCCCTGAAACAGCACTGGTGTTCCCGCGTTTCTGCTTCTAACCTCCGCCTGTGGAGGGTAACCCTCTGTTTACCTGATGTCTCCGGCGGCGATGAACACCGGCTCTTTGCTCTCCAGACTCGTGATGCTGTCGACTGAAAACTGACTGATGTTGTCGCTGCTGCTGGTCTGAGCCTCCATCTGCAAACACATGCTTGTTACTGTGCTTCGGGAGGACAGAGTACACAGGGTTACTGCAGGCAGTATGCCGACGCTTTCACATACCTCCACCTGCAGCTGCCCGATATCATCGGTGGCCCACGCCTCGTCGTCGTTGTCGTAGTTTGGGACGGTGGAGAAACTTCCCGTTCTGTGTTCCGATGTCATACCACTGCTGCCATTAGCTGCGGTGCTGCAGTCCAGGTTCTCCGCGGAGCGGGCCGAGCGTATCCGCGTCTCTGGGATGCGAACGGGAACGGGAGACGTCTCGAAGCTGTCGCAGTCCAACACCTCCACGTAGATGATGTATGGAGCCTAAAGGAGGAGAAGGAGCAGCAGTCAGAGGACATTGGACAGATGTTCTCTGGCACATGTGGCGGGTACACCGGAGGTCACCTTGTCCTTGGAGTTTAGGACCACGGCCTGCGTGTGGGGGACCCTGCAGACGTGGTGCTGGTGCTCGGCGGTGGGCAGCCACACTCGGGCCGGCAGCTTGTGGTTGAGCAGCGACAGCTCGGAGATCAGACGCTGGGTCTTCTGCTCTTTGGTGGGCAGCGTGGCGAGACGCTTCCCGATGCACAGCAGAGACTTGATGAACTCCCTCTGAGGACGGAGACGCTCGGGCTGCAGACGCACGAAACACCCACAGAGAGTCATCGTTTCTAACCACACACACACGTTCCCTGATGCTCCGCCCACAGAGGCATGTGAGTGACTCATCGATAGCTCGAATGGGCCGTTTAACCCTTTAAAGCCGGTAGGAGCGGGCACGCGCCGTTTTGCGCAACTATTTTTAAATCCCTGTAGAATCTGAACTGTGTAAGCTAGCGCAATAATTTTTTTTGCATATGAAACCGGAGGAGTTGTTCTTACATCTGATGCCATCAGCTTGTCCTCGGTCACGGTTGCCTTCCACATATAGCTTTGCAAAAATTGCATAAAAAGCGCTTGCAGGAACAAAAACGTAATATTCCAGAAACACGCTTTGCCGATCCGATCAGCTGTTCGTAACACTTCCCACATTGAAACAGACGTCAGCGCGAACGATCGCATGTCCGCCATTACCTGCACGAAACCGGAAGTGACGTCATTTTTGCGGAAAATGTAGTTTTTAACTTGTAGGCCTTGAAAGCCTATACTGGTGTTTTTATAAGTCATGTTTGATTTTATGCTTTTCTGAATAGTTGCTGTGATGTTTAGAACTCGAATTGCACAGCTGGAAATAGTTTATTTTGATGCACCTGCTGTTGTCTTTGCAAATTTGCATCATAGGATTGTTTTTCGCTTTGAGCGTTTCGAAAAGCGCTATATAAATGCAGTCCATTATTATTATTAGTACCTGTTAGAGATGGACCGATCTGATATTACGTATCAGTCTGATACTGACCTAAATTACTGGATCGGATATCGGAGAGAAATAAAAAATGTAATCCGATCCATTAAATATCACAAACGCACCTCACAAAACTTGCGACATGGCGACTCGGCTCATAACCATAGCACGTCCGGTTGAGCATTTGTAGCCTCGCTACCAATCCGGCATTTCATCTCCAAGAAAGGTATCCCAGAGAAGTAAAGCAAGTGTGTAAGTTATCGCATTCCCACGTTAAGCTTAACAGCCGATATATGGAGCGGCTGCCTCCTCTCTCTCCTGCTGCTACTTCAATCTTGAAACTGATCAATGATCAGCTGATCGTCTCTCTTCTTTGTTTTTGGCCCACTTTGCACCAGAAAGAGGAAACCAGCGGCTGAACAACAGCAGCATGTTTAAGCTTGATCAGCTGTTGTTAGAATTTATTTATTATTACTTTCTACTCGAGGATCTTTTTCTACAGCTGACGGCTGTAACTGTGCAGGGGCGGATCTAGCAAAGTTTAGCCAGGGGGGCCGATAGGGCATGAACAGGAAAAGGGGGCACAAAGACATACTTTTCTTTCTTATTTTCATTTATAATGTCGAGCTTTTAATCAATAATTATCTGAATCTTACACCCAAAGTTTTAATCTGATGTAAAATGTATAGAAGTCCATTACTGTATATAGTAACTGTTAAGTCTAATATACCCTAGTAAGCTATAGTACTTTTTCCTTTGGGAACCATCTGTGCAGTCTGCAATTCTGTTGAAGAAAGATGTTGAATCCATTTAATTATTCTTGAAAAATTTTTTATTTCTGTGCATTTTTTTTTAAACATGTGCATTAAATTAAAGTTGATTACGTCGATTAAGCATCACGAGGCGGAGGGTGGGGGGTTCCCTATTTTTATTTATTTTTTTGCTGGGAGTTGGCAGCCCTGTTAGTTGGGTTGCTTAATATTTCCACTAAGTAAAATAGCAGAATAGGGAGGATGGTGCAGGTTTAAGTTTATTAGATTGGTCAGTGTTGCTGGTCTAATATAGTACTTTGTGCAAACAGGTATAACAGAATAACTTGAGTTTTGTTTTATTTTTTTAAACTTGAGTATGAACTTATACAAAATGCAGAAAGATATTTAAAAAAAACATTTTATTGATTATAAAATTCGCTATATCGGATTTATATCGGTATCAGCAGATATCCAAATTTAGGATATCGGTATCAGACATAAAAAAGTGATATCGTGTCGTCTCTAGTACCTGTAATACCTACAGCATGTTCTAATCGCTCTAATAGGATATTATGGTCGACAGTATCGAACGCTGCACTGAGGTCTAGCAGGACAAGCACAGAGATGAGTCCACTGTCAGAGGCCATAAGATCATCATTTGTAACCTTCACTAAAGCTGTTTCTGTGCTGAGCTCTGTTGATGATGTAGCTGTTTGGGTTTTTGATATGAAAGCATTTGTTTGTGTTTAAGTTGTTTGTTGCTGGTTTTTAGTTTGTTTTTGTCTGTTTGGGAGCTGACACAGTCTCTATGGAGATGGGTTTGGGGGGTAGCAGGAGGAGAGAAGCTGCAGAGAGACGTGTAAGACTGCAACTCTGCTTCCTGGTCCCAACTCTGGATAGTCATATTTTGGGGGGTTTAATAAATGTGTTCATATTTCTAGAAATGAGAGCTGCTCCATCCAAAGTGGGATGGATGCCGTCTCTCCTAACAAGACCAGGTTTCCTCCAGAAGCTTTGCCAGTTATGTATGACGCCCACGCAGCAGCAGATCTCATGGCTTATTTGTTGATTGTAGTAGTACTGGGGTCCATAGCCTTTGACTCTAGAGCAGCGGTGTCCAACTCCAGGGCTCGGGGGCCGGTGTCCTGCAGGTTTTAGATGTGTCCTTGATCCAACCACCTCAACATGAAGTTCTCCAGAGGCCTGGTAATAAACTAATCATGTGATTCAGGTGTGTTGACCCAGGGTGAGATCTAAAACCTGCACGACACCAGCCCCTGGAGGCCTGGAGCTGCCCACCCCTGCTCTAGAGGAACGGCACCACCCGAGAGAATCTCTGGCTCACCTCTTCGTGGACCGCCTCCACTTTTGGGTTACTGCCAGTCCGTCGGAGACCAGCACCAGGTCCATTGCTCGCCATGGTGGCATCCGACTTGGATCTCTGGTGGGTCCTCCTGGACGGGGAAACAAACACCTCGGCTTGTCCCTGTCCAGGGCCAAACATGGAAGAGGCCTCGGCGTTGCTGCCATCGTGTCTGTGATGGCGATGGCGGCGGTGAGACGGCGAGGATGCGGGGCTGTCAGATGGGGCGGGGTTGAGCTCGTCGGACAAGATGAGCTTTCGGAGTTTGGTTCCTCTGGAGTGGCGCTGGGTGGAGATATGCATGTCGGAGGAGTAGGCACCGAGCAGCCAGGCAGAGAGCAGCGAGAATGTGATGCTGGCGCTGCAGCGGTGGATCTGCCGGACACAAACACCTGCGTGAGAACCCCCCGACTGTGACGCAGCGGGTCACCGACCCGTTCTCTGGCTAACGTTAGCTGAGCTAGCTTAAACTTAGGGACTCACCAGGTACGGTCGGATGGCGTCGCCCACCTCTGTGTCCATGTGCACGTACATGTTGAGCAGCTGCGGCAGGTAGAAATCGACCTCGCTGTCCAGGAAGCTGAAGAGGCGGTTCCCGATGTACGCCTGCACACCCGGCTCCTTTGACTTGTACAGGTAGGAAATCGCCATGGAGACGTCAAACAGCTTGGACTCGAACAGGCGCAGCAGCCACGACTGCTTTGATGACGACGGTGGCGAGAAAGGTTCTGGCCGAGCCGAAGGACGCGGGTCGGGCTGGGACGGCGTGTCGGTGTCTTCCTCATCTTCCTCTTTGATGGAGCCGGCATCTGGGCTGATGAGCTGGGTCACGGCGCCGCGCTCTGCCACATCTGCCGGGTGCTGCCGCTGATCATCCTGCAGTTTGACTTTAAGGAGCACTTCCTGGCACGCCTTCAGCGCCACCTCCGGGTCGATGACTGGAACAGCAGAACAGAGAAATCGATCAAAACTGGCGGAGGATGTAGAGGTGTAGCAACTGTGGCCCCACCCACACCTCGCTCCAGATTCATCCTAAGCAGTGAATATTTTGGAAAACAGTTTCCTCTCCTTGTTACCTTGCTCGACACCTAGGTCCATCTCCATGGCGTCCTCTGAGATGACGTCCAGCGGAGGACTTGGTCCTCGCTGGTCGCCGCCACCGCTCGACGTGCCTCCGCTGCCGATGCCCTCGCTGGCGCTGCTGCTACCGAGGCTGCAGGTGCTGCCGATGCTCCCACTAGGGGAGGAGCTGCGGGGGCTGGCGCTGGGAGAGGAGGCCTGATCCCCGTGGGTGGGCGGAGGCAGCTGCAGCTGAGGGCGAGCGTGACGGTGATGATGATGGTGAGTGAGGAAGTCTGAGGAACTCTCAGAGCAGGAGGATGAGGAAGAGGAGGCGCTGGAGGGGGAGGAGGGGCAGGAGAACGTGGTAGGAGAGGAGGACGAGGCGGGGGGAGGGGGTCGCGCAGAGTGGGAAAGGCGGAGCGAGCGCACAGCTGGGGACCCTTCGGCGTCGGCCATTTTGGAAGAGGAGTCCTACAGAGAGACAGAGAGAGCACGAGTCACATGACACAGCTGAGAGGATTCGAGGTCGCCCCTCCCCCTACCTGTTTACCCCCCAACACACACAGCGAGGATGAGGTCACATGACTCCTCCTGGCTTCAGCTTGTCATACTTCCTGTTTTACAGGAATTCAATTTTATTTATATGGCGTCAGATCACAACAAGACAGTGTACTTTATTGGTCCCCGTGGGGAAAATCGCTCTCTGCATTTAACCCATTCACTCAGTGAAGCAGTGGGCAGCCACTGGGCGCCCGGGGAGCAGTGTGTAGGGACGGTACCTTGCTCAGGGGTACCTCAGGGTAGCTGTTCAGGGGAATCGAACCCCCGACCTTCCGATCATGGGGCCACCACTCTACCTACTGAGCTATCCCTGCCCAACAACAGTCGCCTCAAGGCGAAAAGTTTGTATAATTATTCATCCTTGTTGTGCAAACAAGCAAAACTTAATAAATGTAGTTTGAAAAGTAACAAACCTGAAAAGAAAGACTGGGAACGACACACACGAGGACCCACGATACAGAGATGCTCCAGGTAAACAACCAACAGGTGTGTCTCACCTGCTCCTCCCTCTCCGTTCCCCTCTCTCTCTCTCTCTCCCTCCCCCCTCTCTCTCTCTCTCT